TAAGTAGCTGGAGCTTCTATTTTTATTTTATGTTAAAGTATTATTGTTTGCAGTGCTGAAGGTCAGACCCAGGCTTCGTGTATGCTGGCCAAACACTCTACCACTGAACTACCCATCACAACCCATCTACATTTAATTCTTGCCATCCTCCGTCTGATTTGATATATTCCTAAGAAGTCCCAAGGCCTCATCAGCCCACCTAATAGTAGTACTGAATAAGTTAAGATTGATCATTTTTAGACATGGGGTCCAGAAGAGAGGGCTAGTGGTACAAGAAAAGTTGTCTCACTGCATCTCCACAGGAAACTATGCCAGAGTGCGGGGCAAAGAAATGGGCAGGCCCAAAGACTCTTCCAGCACTTTAAACAAAGGAGGGAAATTCCTAATCATTGTTTTTTGTCCAGAAGAGCAGACTAACATGATATAAATGAAACTGCTGAAAAGTACATTCAGTAATAGGAGCCAAACATTTTAAAGCAAGAAATCTAAAGTCTTAGCAGGAACAAAGGAAAAGAAAGAGGGGGGAGTGAGGGAGAGAGGAAGGAAGGAAGGTAGGAAGGAAGGAAGGAAGAAAAAGAAAGAGAGAAAGAGGAAGGAAGGAAGGAAGGAAAAGAAAGACGGGGGAGTGAGGGAGAAAGGAAGGAAGGAAGGTAGGAAGGAAGGAACGAAGGAAAAGAAAGAGAGAAAGGAAGGAAGGAAGGAAGGAAAGAAGGAAGGAGAGAAAGAAAGAAGAAAGAAAGAAAGAAAGAAAGAAAGAAAGAAAGAAAGAAAGAAAGAAAGAAAGAAAGAAAGAAGAAAGAAAGGAAAGAAAGAAAGAAAGAAAGAAAGAAAGAAAGAAAGAGAAAGAGAAAGAGAAAGAGAAAGAGAAAGAGAAAGAGAAAGAGAAAGAGAAAGAGAAAGAGAAAGAAAGAGCACTAAAGTATTTTTAACAATCTGCTTCTTCCTCTTCTGAAGCAAGTGTTTTTTGTGACCATAATAAAGAAGTGTAATACGATTCTGGCTTGGCTTCTGTTTGCTAACACCATTATTAGCCCACAAATGTGGTGTTTTCATAGCAGCATCTCCTAAATCCCCACACATCAGATCTCTAACAAAGCCCTCAGGTGGAGCACCCTAGGGCTTTCCATTTTTCCTCCACTGTTAAATATTTCCCAAGTGTTTTCCGCCATGCTGTAATTTCAACATGCAGGATGCCCACAGTCAAAGAGGAGGAACAGAGAAGGGGAAATGAAAGACCACTGCACTCAAACCCAGCTTTGGTTCCTATGTGCTTCCCTATTCGGCACTGCAGCCTCCCTCCACTAGCCAAAAATACCATTCTGATGAATATCAGAATACATATCTCTCCACCGGAATTAGAAAATAACACCTTCTAGGCAAATGCTGGCTCCAGCAGGACACTGACTGAAAGCATTTGCTCTATTTCTGACACTCAGGAGGACAAAGGGTCTTCTCTCACACTCCAGGAACCCCCTCTGGGCCCCCTCTCTTCTAAGCATCACCAACCCATACTCTGGCTGTTGATTTGTTTTCTTCCCTTTGAGGGCAGAACCCATCTCCTCTTCACCTCATGATCCCAAGGAACCCAACACATTCTAGTACAAAGCAGGCACTCAACAAACGTTGGATGAATGAACAGATCTGAGCTACCTTAGATCAGAATAAATAAAACTACAGACTGCCACAGTTTATTAAAAACCTTCATACTTCCTGCCATGTTTTGATCCTAAAAACACCCAAGAAGTTACCTCGAAGGAGAAGCCACAATTATCCCCTTCTACAAAGATGGGTGGGGAAGACAAGGGAAATCAAGGGACTTGGAAAACTTCATGTACAGGGCAGAGCTACAATGAATGTCCCTAATCTAATGATTTAAACTATCCCTCTTCAGATGTCATATCTCAAATAGGGTCCTGCTGCTTTAAGTCAGAGGATTGTTTGAAACATCATGACTATTAAACTAATTTTTGTGAGTGTTTCATTCGTAACACACTCATTCATGGTCCACGCAAATCCCTCTTCAATGTTATTTAGTTGTTCATACCATTAATTCCTTTTAATTATATAGATACTTGTGTATGTATATTCTTTCTTGTATAGTGGGTAAAGTACACTCTTTACCACCCTTAGTCTATATTCTGTTCTTGTGTGACTATAGCTCATACTCTGTTCTAGCTGCCCTGAGGTAAAGGGAAACTCCAGGAAAAAAATTCTTCCCCGACATCACTCAGGTGGTATCTGAGGATTCTCAATATAATATCATCTGCATCATGCAAGAAGTTGCACTTCAATTGCATCTAGTCTTTTTCCAGATATTTCATAAATATAAGCAGCAGTTATACTGGCATACATTCAGAATGGAAAAAAGAATGCTCAGTGTGTGCTGGGGGATAGGAAAAGGTTATATCATGGCTTCTATTGTTTGAAAATGCACTTACTGATTTTGAACGAAGGTACTAAGAAAACATTGGAGAAATGACAGTCCTTTCAATAAATGATGCTGGGAAAACTGAATACCTACAAGCAGAATAGAATGACTCCTATTTCTCATCAGTTACAAAATCAACTCTAAGTGCACTAAAGACTTAAGATATGAAAGTACTAGAAGAAAACATAGAGAAAGTACTTCAGGACACTGAAACGGGCAAGGAGTTTCTGGGAAAGACCCCCAAAAGACAGAAAATAAAAACCAAAATACACCAGTAGCTTCTATAAAACCAAAAAGCTTCTGCACAGCAAAAAAAAACCAATAGAGTGAAGGGACAACCTATAGGATGAGAGAAGATATTTGCACACTACACAAATAACAAGAGGTTAATATCCAGAGTATTTAAGGATCTCAAGAAGACACTCAATAGCGTAAAAAAACAAATAATTCAATTTTTGAATGGGAAGTAGACCTAAATATTATATGGTCAACACATACATGAAAATATGGTAAAAATTACTAATCGTCAGGGAGATGTAAATGAAACCCACAATGAGATATCACCCCACTTGTTCCCCAGTAGAAAGGGTCTTATTCAAAAGACAAAGCATAACAAGTTCTACAGAGGATGTGGAGAAAGAAAGAAAGCTTGCACCATGTTGGTGGGAATATAATTAGCATAATGCTATTGATGAACTGTAAGTGTTTCTCAAAATATTAAAAAAATAGGATATCATGTGATCAGGATATATATCTAAAGAAAATGAAATTTGTACATCAGAGACATCTGCCCTCCTGTGCTCATTACAACACTATTTGTAACAGTCAAGGAATGTCAACGGCCCAAGTATTCACCCACCAATGAACAGATAAAGAAAATATGGTCCCTGTACATGATGGAATAGTATTTAGCCATCAAAAGGATGACATCCTGTCATTGGCAACAGCATAGATGGAATTTAAGGTTGTTATTGTGAAGCGAAATAAGCCAGGCACAGAATGGTAAGTACTATGTGATCTCACACAGATGTGGAATCTGAAAGAGGTGATCTCACAGAAGGTGAGAGTAGCACGGTGGTTCCCAGAGGTTACAGAGAATATGGGGGTAGGAGAAATGGCAAAAAGTTGGCCAATGAGTATTAAATTATAGGTAAATAAGCATAAAACATTCTTACGTGCTATTTCACAAGAGAGTAATCATGAATAGTGATAATATACTGCATGTTTCAAAAAGCTAGAAAAAAGCTTTTGAGTATTTTTACCATAAATCAAGAGTAAAGATTTCAGTAGATACATTTGTCCCAATTTAAACATTATACAATATACATGTTCAAAACATCACATGACACCCCATAAATGGGTAGGAATTTTATGTTTCTATCAGTCGGAAAATAAAATTACGGAACAACTACTCTGAAGACAACAATACGCAATATAACAACCATTGCTTAATTCCTACCATTATGTTTAATGAAGCTCTGTATCATTTCTGATGTTTTTTATTACTCATTATTGTCTTTAACTGTTTGACCAATCTTGCATTCTTACATCTTGTAATCTGAGCAAGTTGCTGGAGATAACAATATGTAATACAATAACCATTGCTAATTCCTTTCATCTGGTTTTGAAATCCTGCATTGTTTTGTATTGTTTGTTTTTGTTATTGTTGTTATTCTGTTATTATTTTTTCTCTTTAACATACAAAAAGAAAAGAAACTTAAATTTTAAAAATTCTCTCCCTTTCCCTACTCCAGTATCTCTTTCATAAAACAGGAAAAGATCACGGATCATCCCACCCATTCAAGCTTAACGAAAACCACTAAACAAGGTCCATCGTCAAGGTAGAATGGCAGAACTCCAGAGCAGCCCTCCTCTGCTGGGTGTAGGTCCTTACTTGCATCAGGAAGGGACCCACCTTTTCCGACCACAGGTGCTCAGTGAAAGACCTCATCAACCAAGAACTTGACTACGGAAGCCTCTCATGGTGAATTCTAGCTGATTTTAGATCTGAGCCTGCAATTTTCAAATTAAGTCAATAGGTTCTGTGGGTGTATTCCAGTTAAAATAGCAACACCGGCTAATATTACCAACCTGCAGCTGCAAGCATCACCTGTATTTGGATTGGGGAAGAAAGGACAACCAAGAAGGGAACAGGAAGTGCCTAGAACATAAAGTGAGGTAATCTTCTATCAGAACGAAAGATGGCCCGAAAAGCCACTTTGACATAGGAAATAATTCCTTGCCTGTGATGTTGCTAAAGGTAAGCTCTAGTCATCATTTCATCAGCTTGGTGAAGGCCAATAATGCATGTGCACAAGGTACTTTTTATCTCACACCTGGAAGGCCAGGCAATAGCCTTTCAAATGCTTAGTGAAGTTCGCATTTTAATCTTAAACACATCTGTCTTCTGTGAAGGTGTTATGTCCCCAGGAGTCTGCCAATAGAGCTATGGCTTAGATATCTAGAGACATTATCAAGTCAGTCTTTATCGCAGCTATAGGAATCCTGAGAAGGGGAAGAAAAGCACAACATGCAACTGGAATTATGTGGAAGTGTAAACGCCGACACCTACACTCCAGTCCAGAGTTGCTCTGGGCTCCTTCGCTGGACCGTTTGCCACAGGAAAGCTGAGGGGATGTGCAGGAGCCAGATGCTGGAGGCCTGCCCGGGAGATTGCTTTCCTGCAGCAAGAAGAAAAAAAAAAAAAAGAAACACAAAGAAAAAGCAACATCAGAATCTCATACCGAGCTCAGAATTTCCTACGGGCTAGAAATAATGCCCAAGTTAGCCTTCCGCATCTGAAGTCCTGTACGACTGCTCTGAAATACACCTCTCTAACCTTAGTGAGGGCAGGTCCCAAAAGATAGAGAGCTTGCAAAGGCCACTGTGGGGAAATATTGTTTCAGAACCAGAAGCTAATATGTTAGCCCTTAATCAGGGCAGGGGGTTTTCTACAGGAAAAAAAAAAAAAAAAAAAAATAGGGTTTGGGCAATGGCAATACTGCAGAATTTTCAAGTTGCCAGAGAAAAGCAAGGAAAGTAGGCTCATCAGTTATCTGCTAAAATCCCTTCCCTGTCCAGAGATGGTTCCAGCTGAAAGTCCCTTCTTATTCCTCTCTTCTCTTCAGAACATTCATCTCTACCCTGCAGAGGACCCAGTAAGCTTAAGGCTCTAAATTCAAAGAGGCTGACTTCTACCTGCCAAGAAACTATGCATGCTAAAAAAAACAACAAAAAACAAAAACCAACACCTCACCGAGACTCGCAGTAAGAAAAAATCTAACCGTGAGAGTCTAGGTTTGTTGAGTGTAATGTAACAGAATCGGGTCAAAAAGGAGAGGAAGAAGTAGGAGGTTTGAAAAAGCCATCCCCAACTTTGGCCTGCAAAGATGAGAAATAAAAGGAGCCGACTTAGCAAAACAAATGCTGCCGCTATTCAGCGAAGAGAAGAAAGCAGAGAACATCGTGGAGAGAACAAGAACAACACGTAAAACAAAGAAGGCAGAGACCACGCAGAGAGATCTGTGGATTCTCGGGAAACATAAACGTTTAACTTCTGGACAGACCCATCAAAAATGTGAGAGGAGCTCGAGCAGAGTTTGAGCACAGACTTGATCACAAAATAGCTCCTAGCAAGGGAGAAGGGCTTTCCCTTCTTGGTGGTAGCTAAGTGTGATGTGAAAAGCTACTGAATTAGAATCAGGCGGGTCTGGGTATGCAGCAGCTCTGAGCCCCGAATCAGGCTGAGGACGAGGCACAGCAATCTGCAGCCACGCACATTCTCAAGAGGTTTTCTTTTGTGTCCTGAAATAAAATTCTATTGTAAGACCCACACTTTATCAGAACAGGGGCAGGTAGGAGAACACTAACTTACCGAGGCTCATCAAGGGAAAATCTAGAGAAAAACATCCGCAGACACGCCGGAGCCTGATCCTCCCCACTAGCAGGGGCCAGGCTGCAGACAGCGGGTGGAGAGCAGGAAAAGCAGCAAAGCGCAGACCTATGGTGAATCCCAACAGGACTGAGGCATTGAAGGGAAAGGTGCTCACCCAGAAAGGGGAAGGGATAAGAGCAGAATGTAAACATTTGGTTGACCCTAAAGGGCACGTGATCTCTCTGCATGTTCATTGCCTTGAGCCATGTCCCCTCCAGAAATGAAATCTGTGAGACTGACCAAGAAGAAATGTAGCCCCAAGCCCGAGGAAAGGCTGAGTAGAATCCAGAGAAGAACACAGGTTGCACCACCGTTAATCAATGATTAACTACATCAGAGAGCTCAGCCAGGGTCCAGGCCTCCTTGTCCTTTTCTTTTTCTCTTCTGTCTTGCATTCCTATCTGGGAAGTTCTAGAAGTAGTGGGTAGATCTTCAGTCACTGGAAGTGACCATACCAACTTTCCCAGTAGCCTACTTTCAAAAACTCCCACTGGGCGGCAGGCAATGTACTTGCTTTATATAATCCCCCCCCCAAAAGTCACTGACGTATGTAGGACTTTCATGGCGCCTGTCCAGTGATGCAGGGCTACCTTTCATCGCTTTCAGCAAGGTAAATAATTTGGCCCTTCACCCCCAAGTATACTCCATATCATTGAGCAATAAGAAAGAAACAGTGAAAGATCTTTTATGACTATCCTTTGCCCCAACCACTGTTTCCAGCTAAATTGAAGGAATTTCTTTTTGTTTGTTTGTTTGTTTTTTGTTTTTTTTTTCTGGTACCAGGAATCGAACTCATGACCTCACACTTGCCAGGCATGCACTGTGCCGCTGAGCTAAATCCCCAGCCCCGTGAAGGAATTTCTTGAGCATTTTTCATTAGGATTTTCTCTGGTTTGAAGGGCTTTAGTCTGGCAACTCTGTGCCATCAGAAGAGAATCAGATCTGTGTGGTGTCAATGCTACAGGTCTCACCTTTGGGCCATTAACAATTTCTACTACTTGCATTTAAGAGATTTACAAAACTACCTAACAATGCCTGAGTACAAAGCCTTAGGAGGACTAAAAACCTTCCCAGTTTCAGGTGAATGGAGAGAAACATAAATCATTCATCTTTTTATAAACTGCCCCAAAGAGTTATGATCAGGAAAGAGAAGAAGCGGGAGACAGAGGAAAAGGAAGACAGAAAAGAGGGTGGTGGGGAGGAGGAAGAAGAAGAGGAAATAAAGTCCTATTGTCAGTCACCAGTAAGAGCGAGAGTTTAATATATCAGAACTTGGAGGCTCTGACAACCAAAACCTTATTATTCTACCTAGTTAGAACTGCCAGGGGGGAAATCACTCAAATAATCAAACAAGGATGCAAAGGTTTTATGTGCTGTGGAAGAGCAATGTGACTGTAAGAGATAGGGAAACATTTAACCTTTAATGAAATTACTGTCACAGCATACTCTAGCCTATAAATAGAAACAAGTAAGGTCTGTAGTCCTCACTGTGCATGCAAACTTAAGTTGTTTTCACATAATGTTAACAGAAGAAAACTATATACCTGTAACACATGTAAACATTAGGAGAAAAAATAGGAAACGTCAAAGTGGCTACCAATCTGTAAATGAGTTTCATAAAAGGACAATATATAAGAAAGAGCATAAGAAAAATATTTAGGTACCACCGGAGGGTGGGAAGTAGCATATGATTCCAGCTTTCCACTTATCACACAATCCTAGAAGGAAAAATCTTTTTCCTAATAATTCATGCATGACTACATAGTTCCTTCCAAAATAAGAAAGTAATGTCGTTATAGCTCAGACCGCAAATAAAATTAGTGTATATTATTTTTCTATTTAAATTTATCTTGGTAGTGGAAGATGACGTTTAAGAGTCTAGCAGAACTCGGCATGTGGTTGGAGGGGTGCAGAGAGCCGTGGCTGTGTGCTACAATTTGCTCCAATAAAAAAAAATCAATAGTGTTTCAACTTCTCATTCATTACTCCTGCTAAGAATTCCAAGCCCATAGTCAGCAAAACCACGAAATGCCAATGATTCTATTAATTTCATAACACTTTGCACAGAATGACTGTAATCACAAAGGCATCTTGGAATAGAACTGTGATATTAACTGTGAAATAGATATGAAAAGAGAATATTCTATAATGCAGCTTCAAGAGCATAAAGTCACAGTTAATGTCAATTACCTGGCATGAAAGACCTCTAACATGTTTAAAGTAGAAAAGCCATCACATATTTTAAATAGCATTCTATTATTTCCCTCACTTCATTCAATAAGACTATAAACTCCTAAAGGACAGGGCTCAATTCATCTACTAATCTTGTTGCATTCTGGCCCAGGGGCAGACGCAGCATATATTCAATAAGTGCTTTCTGAGTTAATGAATGAACTTGACCACAAAGCTAAGCAAAACGGCTTGCTGATTAGATCAAGGATTGAGAAATCTGATTAGGATGATTTGAATTATATTCCGGGCCTTACATTTCAGTGATATTCTTTCCTGAGAGGGTCAGAAGTACTCCAAAGAAGCTCTTTAGCAATAAATGCAAATTAGGTTGAATCCAATGTTAAGAAGCCCCAGAAACATTAAAACAGCTTTATGTGGTCAATATTAAAATGGAATCCCATTGCTGCTACATTTGTAAAGGGAATAAGATAGCATTAATATTTCTCCAATGTATTTCTCAAAAAAACCCACACACAATGGATACAATCTTCATAAACAGAAATTTTTAAAACTGCATGGGAAACATGTAAGAGATTATTTAGCCAGTATACCCTCTTTCATTCGTTGTGTTCTGTTCCACTGACTGTAACTTTATGTAGCTCTCATGTTCACCCCGTCCCCAATTTGCTAACTCCCTCTCCAGGTGAGCCCACACGTGGGAATGGACTGAGGACCCTGCTTGCTGAGTGGAAAAGCATTAAAGAATCAGGAGGTCCCTCAGCCAGGACAGGACATCGCCAGAAGGTTGACAAATTAGATACTGGCAAATTCATCTCAAGTGTTCTACAAAAGAAGCCAAGTGCCTACAAATTTACGCTGGTGTCTTGGTTTAATTCTCCAAGTGCCTCATCAAGACATCTCAAGGACTGTGTGTGCATCAGGGTGTTTGTCACATACCATCTAAGCACTAACTGTTTTGCTTCAAATCAGCTGTAACACTTTCTGGTTAGCCTGGACAAGCTGCCCCCAATGCAAAGGATAGTCCACAGGCAACAAAAAATTGTCCCAAGACCCAAGGAACTCCAAATATTTACCAGCGCTTTATTTAGGGGAATAAACTCAATTATATGTGACACTATATCTTACTCCATATTACACAGGAATTCAAAATCATTTTTGACAGTTTTAATGTTCACTGATGTTTTTAAGAATACAATTATTATTAATAACAGAAGTTGTGCTTAGTTTCCCGGGAGGTGTTAAGTTACTCAGAAAAATCCCTTTTGGTATTGAATCTTCAACACAATATATTTGGAACACCCTGGATTTTTATTTTCATGGTGACTCTCCAACAGTGGTATTGAATCTTCGCTCATGGTGCAGTTTGAGAATGAGCCCATTTAAAAGTCTTCCAGAGGGCTGCAGGGGATGCAGACCAGTGTTAGAACACCCAGTCTTGTGAGGCCTGAGTGGATCCCCAACACTGAATGACAAAAAAAAAAAGCTTTTTGCCTTTTTGATTTCATTTCGTTGGCACTTCATTTCTATTTATTTATTTATTTATTCTTATTTATG